CAGCGGTTCGGTGGCCTGCCTTGCAAGCACAAGGACCAGAGTTCAATCCCCGGTACCAAAACAAAAAAAAAAACAATAATAATTTATATATTAAAGGTTATAAAATATATGTGGCAATATTTGAGGCAGACATAAGATTAAACTATCACATTGTTTCTCTAATATGAGAAACCCAAAATACAAATAATGAGCAAAATAAAAGATAGCTCTTAGGAAATAGGGAGATAGATCTTTGCAAATGAGAAAGGACCCAGAGATGGAGAGAGAAGTTGGGGAAGAAGGAAAAGGGGCTTAAAAAAGAATTAAAAATTGTTATTTGCATGTATCAACTCCCAACAGAAAATATGATCATTACATACTGCAAATATGTACCAATAAAAAATAGAACTTGAAAAAAAACCAATAATTTGACCTCAATATACAGAAGTTAGTTTAATTCTTTGTTATAGTATGAACATGTTTCTAAATATTATCCCTAAAGTAAAAACTCTGATGTTTCCTTTCTCTTGTGAAGATACAGCTGGCTACTTAATAACAGATGAAATACAAAAACATAATTTTACAAATACCTACAATCTATTTTTAAAATTTCTTGCTTTCTGTTCATTTCCTGGAAATCTTTTATTTCACTTTTGCCTCTTTATTCTCCTTCCTTTATCTCCATCCTAAATTTTTCTACACAATGAATACAAAGACATGTTGATCAATCAACTCCATATATAGGTATGTACTAAAAAACTTGAATTTTGATGCTGAAAATGTACTTACATAGATATTCATAGTAACATTCACAACATACAAAAGTTAGAAAAACTCAAATGCCTATGTATAGTGCATGAATAGATAAATAGTCCCACATACATAAAATAGAACATGCTCAGGCATAAGAAGGAATGAAATAATGTTACATACTATAACCTCAAATACATTTATGAGTGGTGAAATAGGACAAGCAATATTGCATGATTGCATGTAATTATTTGTATCCTTATCAACAAATCATTGAATTACAGATGACTTGATCCTTTACAGAAATAATATCACAGTATGTACAAACAAACAAAGTAGTATGAGTTGTAGTAATGATTTTAGCAACTTCTGATTTCAGGATTGACATACAATAGGAGTTGCATTTTTATATACCAAAAATGAATGATCTGGAAAAGGATTTAAGAAAATAATTCCATTTACAATAGTTTCCAAAACAAAAGAATAATAATCTAATCTTGAAATAGCAATGACTTTTTTTAGTGTCTAATATAAACAAAAAAGTATACATAGATTATTTATGTAACATAAAAAATTGAATTAAATCAGAGACATCTGGCAGCAAGGCATAGTTACTGCCACAACATGAAACTATTACAATGACTATTAACAAAACAAATCAAAATAAAACAAAAAGAGAAAAATGACTAATGTTCACAAGAATATGGAGAAGCTGCAACCCTTCTTCATTGCTGATGGGAATATAAAATTTCTGTTTCTATTGGAAAGTTTGACAACTCTTTTAAAAAGTTAAACAGAATTCTCAATTCATGTAACAATTTCATTTATATTCTCAAATAATTGAATTTAGTATTTACAAGTAGTTGTACACAAGTTTACAGTAGCATTATTCTCAACTGATAAGAGGCATCTAACGAAAAATGTGTATAATAGCTCTGAGAAAAAAATGTAAGGACAAAATCTCTATACAATATTTAGCCATTAAAAGCATTGAAATATTTGTACATTCTGAAAATCATTTATGTTTAAGAAAAATTTGTGGGTGGTATGATTTGATTCATATGAAATATCTTGAATATGTAAATCCTTAAAGATAAACTTAAGATTTGTGGTCTCCAAGGATAATAGGAAAAAACACTTAATTGGTAAAGAGTATTTTTTTGAGGTGATGAAAATATTTTGATGAAAATATTTGATGGTGATTGTACAAGATTGAAAATGTACTAAATGATACTGAATTATTCATTTTAAAACAAGAAATTGTGTATGAATTTTAGTTCAATTTAAAAATTAACTGTTTCATTTCCTTAAATTTAACAAATCTGAAGCTTACATTTAATGGTTTAATATTTTATTATTAATATTTTATTCTCAGAAAATATACATATACAATTTGGTGAAGTGAATGATAATGCTTTAATACAAAGAATTGACTAATAGTGGAAATTTGTGACAAAACTTGTTTGATAACTATTACTAGCCATGAAGTTCAGCTGGACTCCTCAATGATCACAAGTGTAATTGTATATTTTCTTACAGGATAGTTTTATTACACTGATAATGGTGCTACTTCATGATTTTTACATTTTTATATTTGTCTAATGCTTTTAAATGCTAATTATGTTCCAGGTGAAATGTGGTGCTCAAAGGAGGATCCTTGCAATACTACAGCTTTATTTCTGGAAGTAAGCAGTCTTACATGCTAGCAATTTTATACCCATATCTTTAGATATATGGTGAAGTATATGCATTTTTAAAGCATTTGTGTTTTATAAAAGGAGAACACACCCATGGCATTTGAAGCAAGTTTATTGATAAGTAGGTTGTCTCCTATCATTCCATTTAAAAAATACTTTTGGTTTTGTGTTTCTCTAAATGGAACTCTTTAATGTGAAACATGGATGACTCACTTAAAATGATGCTATATTATATAATTGTAAAAATAAATTATCTTTTATAACTAGAGTAAGTACTATTGAAAGAGATAGAACTTTCCTTCAGTGGAATCTATGCCTTACTCAGAGCTGAATAAAGACATTTTCTCTTTCTCTCTAAGCAGATGCAAATATATAGCTATTACAATCTTAGAGTTTATTGGAAATAAATTTTCTAAGATTCCATCCTACACTAGATTTGCTCTAAATATAAAATGGATATCACAACCCATTAAAAAAGCTGGAATGAAATGTCAAGTAGTAAAGAAACCCAAGAATCAAAATTGATACTTCAAAATGCCTCAGCAATCAAATAATGTAGTTTAGGAATAAAACTTGCTCAATTTATTACCAAAAAAGAAAAACACATGTTCAAAACCAGTTCCTACTGAAGCTCTCATCGTTTTAAGAGTGTGACGTTCCAGTTACCTAGCCATTTCCGCACATGAAAATGAATGTATAGGTCGGCCAGAGCCTGGAGAGGTCCGGACCTCGACCTGGGCCTCGCTGGCTTCCGCCGGCCGCGCAGCTTCCCCGAC